CAATTGGTCACCGAGAATGCTTCTTGCTGGCCGCTACTGTCTTGTGTTGCTTCCTGCTCTTGCATTTGCTCTATCGCATCACGAGACGAGGCTTTTGAGTTGAATGGCAGACCTCCCAGGTCTCCGCCAGCCTCGTCCTCAATAGGCTTTGAGGGATAGGCCCATTTCTCCCTGCCAATGTCGTGGCCGTGCTTCCACAGGCGCGACAGGTGGTTGGCAGAAGATTCTTTGGGAACGAAGCCACCTCTACCGCTCGAACCATCAGCGATTCAGGCCCCGAGTAGACGCAAAGCTAGATGAAATTGAAAGACCAACGTTTTAGGAGCAGGTTTGGACCATCGGAAAAGCCGACCATCCGACTGCGGGCCACCAATCAGGAAATTTAGAACCGTGAGCATTCGAGCTCGTCAAGGTCGGCACAAGATGGGGACTCGGGTTGGAGCACGATGTCGTCGATCGGGGAAAGAGCCAGTTCACATTCGTCTCGCCAGAGAAGTGGGGAAGAACGCGCGCCGTCACATGGGATGGGAAATTCCAACTGTCCAAACACCGCGTTGTTCCTGGACGTGTGGCTAGTTGACAGGTAGGGGTTTCCGTATCGCTTTATTAGTGGACGCTAATGCCGTTGGTTCTCCGGAGGCGCGTTTGTACGGTGCACTGCTGAGGTCCGGGGTAAGAAGAAGGTAGGAGAGCGAGGAGGCGGGTAGTTGGAGGTTACGGCCTCTATGGCTGCTCAAAACACTTTAGCCACTAAGCTAGATAAGCTAGGGGAGACCGAGGGAAACACCGGGGAGCACAGGCGGAACTATCCCGCACCCGTCAAATGTCTCTCATCCTTAGAACTCCCTGCAACATGTCTAATTCGATCTTTGCTTACCGCCTCGAATCTCTTTCTTCGTCGCCTTGTGTGTTGGCGGAGAATTTCAGGCGCCGACCAATGTATCAGACTACGAGTCAAGACGAATTAATCTCTAACTTCAAATCTATTTTCAGTGGCACTTCTAGGACTCCCTTGTTTTGGAAGACACGAAGGGCGGATGAACAAGTGGGACAAAGTACATTCTTGTCTTCCCTCGTGACATGGAACACATTCATCCCGTGCGAGCTACGCCATTACGTCACTGGGCAAGGACCAGGTGGAAGAATTGAATTGGCGTTTAATCCACCCCACCGACGGAAGCGCCGAACAGCAACATTCAATCCGGAAAACTAGGAAGGATGACCAATTCCCGCATAGTCGAAAGTCCTTTGTACCCCATCCAGCCAGATGAGAAGAACCCATACTACTGTCCTTGGTTCGACAAGTTCAGAGCTTTGCAGCCATATGCCCACAAAGCAGCGATCCACCTATCAGTATGTCTCAATCATCATATTTCGAGGGTTAGCACGTTCACTAATATAACCTTTAATAGTAAGCAGGCCCTAAATATCTCGATACACACTTGAAACCATACCGTTGTGGGGGCCCGGAATGCGAGGGTCTTCCGTTTTTCCTCTGTGGGTGCATTACTGTAAATCGTCATACGAAGGGAGTCGCATTCGACGCCCCAACTTTTTTGCCCATTCCGGGACTGTGACCGAGGCACGATGGAGTTCCCTTGACGTCGCAATCTGGAGGACCGTATGAAAAGAATTCATGGTTACACGGAACCCGCCCCATCTCCTCTGTGCGATCCAGAATCAACACCACCGTCTTCCGGGCACGTCCCCAAGCACTACTTCTACCCTGGATATGAGGCCTAATTTGATGAGGGCGAAGAAAGCCTGTAATGTGTGCTGGCGCTCCAGAATTCTCTGTCAAGGGGGACCACCTTGCGAACTCTGCGTCCGTAGGGATGTTGTCTGCAACCTATCCTCAGCTATCGCCACCATTCTCAACAGCACGGAGACGTCTACACCTATAAGCCATGAAGATAAGTTAGAGTCTTCACATACTTCTAATTCCAGGAAAGGAGTGTCTTCTGGTCAATCCAAGGATGATCCGACCGATATGGAAAGCTCTCTCAGTGGACGATGCAAACTCGACATTTTTCCTGGATCGGATTCTCGGCTGGATTTTCGTCCGGGAAGCGAGATTGCGATTTTCTCACGCTGGGATGACGATCATCGGCAACCCGTTCCAGTCGATATTCCGGAACATTATCCTACGTTTCGGGGTAAAGATATGTTGAACTTCGGTTCATGTACGGCTTCTTCAGCCTCGATGATGGTGGAATCCACGGTGCCTGGTGCCCAGATAATGGAGTTAAATTTACGATGTACGGGATCCTTCATAACGAGCCTTCCCTGGATGTATGAAATGTTATTGCGATGTCCTGGAATGCTTGTTCCGTCGTACGACGACGAATTCAATCAGATATCCGAGGCAGTTTGGAAACTCCATGATCTAGAGTTTCCATTGATCCAAACCCAGGTGGTCACAACTCATCAACCGATGTCTTTCCAATCTTACCACATTGCGTTATATCTACAATGTCGCGAAAAATATGGGAACCCGTTTCAGATGACAAACGGGACACTAGAGAGGTCTCGAATCAAAGGCGCTCTTATGCTCGTGGAGTGGTTACACCTTGCTATGATTACACATACTGAGGCGGACGGTACAGAGGCGCATTCTTCATTGGTATTTCGATCTCTGACTGACCTGATGCAAAAAGGGTGGGTCTTTTAAGAAAATTGAGCGTCCAGTTTCTATCTATGTATGCTTCGACTTGCCAGTCGTACCTGGAAGACTTCCACCTGCTGAAGAAGCTAAGCCAGCTCTGACAGTACTGCCGGCAGGGTGGCTGATTCGGAGATATTGCTTCGAGCGGGATTCAGGCGAAGAGACACCGTCCATAGACCAGATACGTTCAAAGCGAAATGCCCCCAGAACTTTCTTCTCATGGAAAACTACTTTAAAAACGGATCTCCCTACCATTAAACTCTCCAGCATCTCCTTCTTCTCTATCCTCCTTTCCAAGTCGTTACTTTCACTCTCGCACTGCGTCAATATTTTCTGATATGGCGGAATCATCTCACCACAAAACAGCCGTGCCCGACGTGACAGGTACGCGAGTCCGAGAGCGTGGAGTTTGCGAACCAAGCCCAGCTGAGTCAACAGAATCCCGTCCGATAACGCCACCTCCTGCGCCGACCGGGCGTACATGGTGTAGATGTGATGTTGTGGGACGTGATTGGATATTCTCCGCCCCCGCCCTTTTTTGTCGCAGGCGGTGACGCCTTGCTAGAGCTGAATCGGTCAACTCTTGCATGACTTAACGCCTCGCTCACGGTCTAGGTGGCCAGGCCTTGGTGACGCTCCTACAAGCCTCAGCCATCCTTAACTCACTCCCGGCCACATACCACCAGGTACCTAACCAGCCTCTCCCTCGTAAATGGAGTTGCCCCCAGCCTACCACTCTGCCTGTGCCCCTCCATCAGCCGGACCAAGCAACTTCACTGCTCTGTCGTGTTTATTTTTGTTTGTTTTGAACTTTGAACTCATGCTCCGTCTTTCCCTTCCTACGCTCTTCTTGCTTTTTCCAAGTCGTCTCCTTCCCGACTGGACGTCCCGGTTGCTCCATCACAGCATCTTCCGACACGTCATATTTCTCCCACGCCTGCGGATCCGACGCGAAACACCACATCGAGGGACGAAGAGAGGGAGGTCCCTGTCAACCGACACTCATTGTCTGCCTCTCGGGCCTCTTCATCGCTACCACTACTGCCACTGCTACGATCTACTAGCACCACTGGAGGAAAGAGTCTCGCACAGCCTGCTCAATACTCATATGGTGACCTTGGTCTGAGGGCGATATTGTCTTACTCTTTGCCTTACTCGCAGTTTCAGACAATGCCCCAGCACGCAATGAAGAGCGAACGCTCGACGCCGCCTCCCCGACAAAATTGGGAGGCTCTGAGGAACGACATCGAGAAGTGGTACGTGACGGAGGACATGCCTGTTAAATATGTTCGGCAGCAACTCTCTCGACGCAATTTTCATGTGAGTGAGAGACAGATTAAAAGCAAGCTCGAGAAATGGAAGCTTCAATGCAAAAGGACTCCGCACGCGCATTATATGGCCATGATGGCGGTGGTAGACGACTACAATTCTCAGGGCACGGAGATTGAGTTTTTTGTGCTAAAAGGGCTACGGGAAGTCGTGTACACCAAACAAAAGATCAAGAAAGAATGCGTAAGAGCCAAGAGAGGATACGCATCGAACCGGATGTCTTTGGAACTACCGACTCCTAGCGATGCTGAAGACGTTCTAAGAAAACTTAAAATCTCCTGGCGAACCAAGCATCCCAACCAGCCGATTCAGCCATCATCATCATCAGCAGCAGCAGCAGCAGTAGCAGCAGTAGCAGCAAAAGAAGAAGAAGAAG